AAGTCATCAAAATGTATTCATATTATTTACATATAGGAATCCTTAGTTTAGTTTACTGATTCCATTTCAATGCCAACCTGTAATGTTATCTATATTTTTGTCAACTGTCCATTTAAATGGATCAAACCATGGCCTAAAAGAGGCTTCATACATATATCAGGTATTATTATACCAAAATATATGCTCAGTTTTAGCATGGTATTTATCTTCTGTCACAAAATGGATTTTTCCTGTCCAAATATATTTACCATCCTGTGACATTAATTATTAATTTAAATCATGATCCCTACCTGACCAAGCCGTAACAAAGGTAGTCCTATTCGAGAAAAGCTCCTGGAGATAATAAACATCATAATTTCTGTTGATGATTGTGTCTGTGAATCATGGTCACACCTGGAATTAAAAGACTTGATATTATTAGTATGAACTATATTGTCCCGACAATACGCAAAACATGTTTTCAATTCCTAAACTCCTAGGCTGACGAACATACATGAAAATGGAAGCCAGTTTCAAAATATCTACTCACTAGCCTTATTGTCATCAGAAAATGTAACATGCTTCTTATTATTCACATATTAAATTTCAACAAAATCGCTTGTTTACTTTTCCAGTTATCAGGGGTTTCACCAGAATTTCTCACAACAAGCTGAATAAATGAAAACAACAGACAAAATGAATGGAAATCATAAAAACATGGAAAAGCTGATTTTCGCCTGTTGCCTGCTGCTAATGAAACCCCCGAGTTATAGTAAAAAACAAAATTACAGTATACAAGGAAAAAACTTACACCACATAAAACTCACATGTCTGTAAGGCAGGTCTATAAGTTTTCCATTGAATAGAAAATGCTACTTAATCAAGAATGTATACATATTTTTAGACCACTCTGTATTTTAATGACCATGTTTTCTTCTTTCACATATTGGTCTATAGAAGCCATTGAATTGGAAGCCACAAAGCTAAAGATTTCAACCTCTGCTCTTGTTTATCTCTATTTAGAAGCACGAAACCTGGTTTGACCTTCAAACCAATATCAACATTCCACTTTCAGTATGAAAGCCTATAAATAACATAAACTCTCTCACTTGGGTAAATGCCATCAGATTCAATTTTGCTCTGAAGCCTTATAATTTAAAGGTCAAGTTATAGAATTTCAAGGATTGAAGATCTAAGAACATATCATAGACTACTTATTAAACACATATCAATCTATAAAAGTTAGTAGTCATACTTTACGCCACAATTTAACCATTGCTTAGCCAAGAACCAAGCATTTGTTTTGTACCAATGTTGCCCTTTGTGTTTTTCCAGGAAGATAATGTACTAAGAAAAAAACATCTCTATATTCAACCTGGTTTATCTTTATACCATTATTAAATTAGACAACGATTAAATAATGACATTTTATTTGGTCAAAATCCGCTAAATAAACGAAGGATATTCTATTTCTAAAAGAAATAGAATTTTCTTTCGAGTTTCTTTCCCGGAAGTTGATTTCTGATCAAAATAGTATGAGGTATGTGATTGGACAATCACTAGTAGTTGATTTCCGAGCGGTAATCGGTACGAGTCCTATGATTGGCCGAGATTATTGATCGCGCATGCGTCTTAATAATTTTAACAAATCAAATTGCTGGATTTGCTGCGCATGCGCAAAAAACTGAACCAAGAAATGGAACCTCACGGAGATTGCTCCTAGTGAAACTTTCTGAGCGATCAAAATCAATAGCAAATTGCTTTGAAATACGCAAAGAAAAATGGTATTTAAAGGTTGAAAATTAGTTATCTCTTTCTAATGAAGGTATCTGCATCATTTAATGACCTTCTAGACGTGTGTAGTACATTGATCTGGGCCAAAAATAACAAAACTGATCATGCAAACTTTTCATCAATTTTTTCGTTCAGTGCAAAAATGTGACTTTGATTTCCCAGGAAACTTTTTTCATGGGGACGCACTTTTTTGAGGGGGACGCAATTTTGTAAAATCAATCCATCCCAGGGAAGCACTTTTGGACAAGCCTACTGAAAGCACTGTAACATAACAAAATGTCACCATCTAATTGCTCACAATATTATGAGTTCAATCTTAAGTTGGATTTGAATTTCTGAGAACTTGTTAATGATTTTGAAAAAATAAATTGGTCAATTTGAAGCAAGTTGAAAAAAGACCCTTTTGAAGTCTGAGAAGGTTATCGAAGGTGAAATCTCAAATCTAAAGTCATATTTGAACTTCTGAGAACTTGTAGAAGATTTTGAAAAGTGTTGTAACAGGCCGACCAGTCCTCTGATAGCCCTCAAGCATGTGAAATTGTAAATAATAACACGTGGTATCACTGATCTGGATATTCAGCAAGTGGATTCTGCATTTGGAGTCAGTAATACAGCTGTTCTTAAGAAATATGTTAAAGGCGTAGGGTATAACAGGAGGAGAGGTGTCACATTAGAGAAAGATGTCACACTAGCAGAGGATGTCGCAGGAAGGGTGTGACAAGAGGGGAGGAAGTGTGAAACAAGACAGTGTTACAAGGAGGGGGTGTTACAGGTGTTGGTGACAAGGAGGGGAGAATGTCACAGAGGGGTGATGTCAAATGAGAGGATGGTGTTACAGGGGTTGGTGACAAAAAGGATGTCATAGGGTGAGGATGTTATACAAGCTTAGAATGTCACACAAGATGAGGGTGTCACACTAGTAGAAGGTGTTACATGAGGGAAGGGTGTCACAGGGGCAGGTGTTTAACAGGAAGAAAGGAATTTAGAAACCATAGGCCAAGTAGTCATATAAATCTGACCATTGTATGATGTTCTTCGATATTCCTTTTTCTTATTTGGATATTTATTTTTTATCATTTTCTAAGCATATACTGCCGTAGATATAATTGCTAACAAATTGCGGGAAATGCTTTCCTGGCCTGTCTGGGTAACCATACTAACCAAAGTCACACAAATTATCGAGTAATTATTTAGCTCCAATATCAAAGTGTTAAATCTTACCTTAGACATGTAAAACGCTTGATAATTGACGAAATATAATCAATTGAATTATATTTTCATTATCGCCCGCCATGCTGCTAAATGTTGTTTCCGTTAGTCTAAAGAAAACATGTATCGAAACGGAATCATAATTATTTATTACACAGAGATCGATTCGAAAGCCGTTCTCTCATACTACTCACTTTTCTCATTTTGAAACAATAACTTTTCCAAATAACTTCTCTTCTTAACGACACTGCTTCTCTTTCAACTGAATCTTCGTGTAACAAATATTTATGATTTCGTTTTGATATAGTTTTACAGCTAGACTCAGATTAACCCGGAAGTGACCTTGGTATGGCAGAAATGAAAAAATTTCAAAATTCAAGCGGCATGCTTATATTTCTTCAATTACCAATCGTTTTACGTACCTAAGGTAAGATTAAATACTTTAAAGTTGAAGCAAAGAAATTAATTTATCATTTGTGTGAATTTGGTAGGGTAGACAGGCCAGGAAAGAAATGTCCCGCAATATAGAAACGCCTTACTCACTTCGAGAGCCATGTTAGATTTTGAAACTTATGGCTCGGGGAAGTGAACAGCTGATTAATAGTAACCTTTGAAATCGAATTAAGTCGATCCGCGGCTTACTTTTGGTCTCTAACTGTGTCTTACATCAGAATCATCAATCCGTGTAAGTATTGGAGCGCTGAAGTACTTCCTTTTCGATCAAGACTTGTAATTGTTAGTCGAGTGAATGCTTTTACTGCCAAATTCCAATATGGCGTTTTCTGCTCTGACATTTTCGTAAATCTCCAGAGGTTGTCTGAACCTAACTAATTCTCAAAATTCATTTCGTTCGTTGCGTATCTCGCCATATTGGAAATAGGTCTAAAAAACATTCACTCGATGAACAATTTACAAGTCTTGATCAAAAAAGAAGTATTTCAGCGCTCTAATACTTACACGGATTGATGATACTGATGTAAGACACAGTTAGAGACCAAAAGTAAGCCGCGGATCAACTTAATTCGAATTCAAAGGTCACAATCATTCAGCTGTCCAAATGCTCCGTGGGAAAGCTATTATACCAAAATCCAAATAGCTTACACAGGAAGTAAGAAATGCCTAGTATGTATGACCCTTGTATGAAAATAGAAAAGGGACATTTTTTAAAATATCGAGCAGCAACAAAGATACTTCTGGTCAAACTGAGTTTATGATGTCAGAAACTTATGAAAGAATCAACAAAGGGTAAGTGGTATACATTAGGCGGATGCCAAAAATTAAACGTGGCGCCAATTTGAAACTTCAGAATGCTTTCTGTGATTCAAAATCACAAAAAAGTTGAGTGACTTTTTAGATGCCGAAAATCTTAGATGGGAAAGGGAAAAGATCTGGCTGGATATTAGAGATTTCGTAATATTCTTACCTTCGGCTTCTCAGCCCGTGTTCTGGCCCGATTTCTATCTTAATAATATAGACGTTATCAACCAAGGGAAAAGATCTGGCTGGATATTAGACTTCGTCTAGTGATTTCGTAATATTCTTACCTTCCCGTGTTCTGGCCCGTGCTTCAGAGAGCTGTTCCGATAAAACTATGACCGCTCAAATTTTTCAAGAATATAGCATTAAAAGAGCGAACGTACGTTACTTTGTATTATCTTGAAGAAATACCTTGGATAAGATTCAAGCATGAAGTATGCTCATATGCTAAAAGTAAACAAATGCAGTACGTTCCGAGAAGAGGAATCAGAACTTTTTCTACGATCGCTAATTGTGTATTCAGCACATGGAAAATATAGACTAATGTCGGAATTCAAAGTTTTATAATTGCCATACTTACAGCCATGCTTACAGTATGACGGAATTCCGTTTTGTATTTTATATTCGAATATGACTGTATTCACGCCAATTATAAACTGTAAAAAACACTGTATAAAAACTAATGCCCCTGTCCGGGGCCCCTGTGTACTTGAAAACGTACTCCTACCCACTTCAGTTCAGATCGTACTTTTTGAGCGGTCGTAATTTCGATGAAACATTCGGAATCAAGTATTCGGTATTCATCGACATTTTCCGGAGGGAATATCCCATCTTCGAACTTTGACACTGGAATCCCCTAAAATGGAGGAAGGAAGGTAAAAAATCATCTCTGTTTCTATTGATTATTTTCTTATTACTCCAACAAATTTTCTTGTTTACGGTATGTTTAATAAACGAGAATATGAAGCTTATGTCACCATAGTTTAAACGCATTTTAAAATTTAGCCTAAGTAAGACCAATGGATTGAGACCGATCCCTGATAATTAGGCTATACAATTACTACAGGCTCTACAGGGTGACCCAAAGAACAGAGCCATTCAAAATGAAATAATTTCACGAATACATATGCAATCAGCTAATTTTTCATATACAGAAACTATCTATGTGGAACCAAATTTGTTACATAACATTCAATATTTAGGCTTCGAGGAAGAGGAGGGAAAGCCCAAGAGCTTTAGCGATGACTGACATAATACCTCTCATGCGTACCACCTTCGTTTGCGCAAATTCTCACCAGTTAAGTGCGTCGTCATGATGTTTTAATCGATGTAAACATAATCCTTACATATTTCGAGACCCTATCTGTTGCAAGACTAACGCCTGGCGTAACCGTCACCATGTTATTCAGTGTTTTTTAAGTAGCGCAAGGATCCTGCCATGACCGTGGTAATGTTATCGTGAAAGCCTGGTATAACCACAACAATGCTGTATTATATTGCAATGCCTGCCATGACCGGGACAATGTAATATAGTTCTGCAAGGCTTGGCATGACCGTGACAATGTAATTATATAGTACTGCAAGGCCTGGCATGACCGTGACAATGTAATATACTGTAGTACTGCAAGGCCTGGCATGACCGTGACAATGTTGTATAATTCTGCAAGGCCTGGCATGACAAGTTCAGGTATGAGAGTGGTAATGTAGAAATTTACGATTTGGACTGCAATAACCGTGACAATGTGTATTGCAAAGCCTGGCATGACCGTGGCAATGTATTATGGGATCGCAAAGCCTGGTATGACCGTGACAATGTAATATAGTATTGCAAGGCCAGGTATGAGGGTGGCCATGTAGAAATTTAGGCTTAGTCCTACTATGACCGTTATAATGTATTGCAATGACTAGTAAATATGTATGACATTAATGCCAGGAATATCCTTAACAATTTTAAGTGATCGGCATTACAATTAAACAGTTTAATACTATGATCATGGTGTTTAGGCTTAACTACATGTACCTTAATCATGTCAAAATCAAAATTACTGTACATTAATATTTACATTCGCTTATAAACCACAATAAAGGCTCGGTCGCGCCAGGCTTCCACGATACACTTCCAGGGTCATGACAGGCCTTGCAATATAATACAGCATTGTCACGGTTATACCAGCCTGTCACGGTTATACCAGGCTTACACGCTAACACTACCACGGTCATGGCAGGATCCTTGCGCTACTTAAAAACACTGATTAACATGGCGACGGTTGTGGCAGGCGTAAGTCTTGCAATAGATAGCATGTGCATATTTCTTTATCTTGATTTGAAAATCCAAGCTATGATATTGGTTAATACGTCAGGAATCAACATAATATTATTCAAAGCGTTATTAGAAAATTTTGAATCCACCATTTTTGTTTATCGATTTGGACCAATCAGAGGTGTATGTCATCTCAATACAGGTTTACATTATAAGCGTATGTCATCTTTGAACTCTGGTGTTAATCCCCCTCTGGCCTAGAGGTTGAGATCATTGAGGAAGTGTCCCAACAACCTTAGCAATACAGTGGGGAACATAAAGAATTACTATAGCTATGAAAATACATGCTGTCGCACATGTAATAAATTCTTACCTCAGTGTATTCAGTGCTCTATTTTCTCCATCCTAGTAAGTCCAAATATTGTGGAATTTGTGTCTATAATGACAAATAGGAACTTCAAAATTTGAAGTGGATATTCACATGTTAATGCTGACTCTTCAAATGTTGAGGTGATTTTGGAGCCCGAATACGCCGCAAAGAGGATTGGCTCCCAGAATGCAACATGACACGTGCCCGCTTTCAAAATGCCATTCCGCCATTTTGAAACCTGTCACGAGTAAATAAGGTTAACTGATGTTGCATTCTAGGAGTCAATCCTCCTTGGATCAAAAACATGGCGATTCATGAAAACATTTGTTCGATTTGGTAGGAATTTATCTATCATTTGCAGGTATGAAGCTTTGGATTCATTTATTGTGCTACTTAAAGTGAACGGGAATTATTTTTCTACCGCTTGGGAAACTTAGAATTTAGCTCATTGTGACAACTTTTGATGGTTGAGGTTTATTAATGTCTCCATGGGCTTTCAATTAGAAAGCCCATGATGTCTCCGACTTTAGGTATGCAAGTTCCAGTTTTCTTAAAATGTATGGATAAACTCTCAATTTCAGCTTTAAGACGTGTTAATTCAGTTCAAAGCTTCTGTAAAGGGAGTCCCACTTTTAGATTTTAAAGATTCACCACGTTTCAAGAGGAATATCAGCTGAAATAATGTTTATCCAGGGGGTTTCTTTGTAGATACAAATATATGTTAGTCTTGATGAAATATACAAACTTAAATATATTTTGTCGATGATCGTTGAATGGCCCTCCTGCACTAATTGTTGCACCTTTAAGGCCCATACAAAATCTTGGGGCCCAAAAACTAAAAAACTTTCTGGGCCCACTAATTTTGGGGGTAGGCCTAGGTAGGTGTAAGCGGATCATTTTTTCTAATCAGGTGTTTAACAGTTCTCATTTCTTCCTCTTCCAACTCATTAATTGTTAAATATTTGACTTTAATATCACATGTCATGCAATACTCATGACCATTTTGCTTTCCATTGGACCAATTCTCAATAATTCATCCAATGGAATTTCCTTCTGAATAACTCATAAAATCTCAAGTTACTATTTTGTCTCAATGTTGATTTTCTGAAAATTGGACACATTCTAAGACCATCCATGATATCACAATAATAATTTTGTGTAACAAACTTGATATCATATCATCACCAATAGATTCTTGTTGAATCACATAAAATATTGGGTTTATAGGATAGGTATTTATGAAATCATTACACTTTTAGAGGGCTCTGTTTTTTGGGTCACCCTATAGCCTAACCCCTCCTAACAGGACTATATATTCTGCCAGCTGTATAATATAGGCTATATTATAGAAATTACAATATACATTTTACACTATAATGTATTCTTTGCTGCCACTTTATTTAACGCCACACTTTATTTCTGATGGTAGACTTAAATATTCAAACAAACATAAAATATGAGTTTGAAAACAACACGGGATTTCAACAGAATGTTAGATTAAACCCACCATTTTTAAATTCATGGATATGATTTTTGGACATCTAGATACGTTTGTATATGCATAAGCCTTGCAAAATCCTTAGTTTTTAAATTGCAAAATCCACGTCTTATTTGCTTTGTTTTCTAAGGCAATATGTTACAGATTTTGATATGGAACGCTTGAAACATTAGAAATGTCTCTACTGCCATGATTACATTCAACAATTTATTTGAATGTTAAAATAAGATGCAATATTAAGTGACATACAAAAGCCTCATTTCGTACACGCCTGACCATCGACAACATACAGTGACAAAATATACCGTTGTACACTTTAGGTGTACGGTGTCAGTATCAACTGATTTGAAGTGAAAACTATGATGTAGGTTTGATGTAGCTTTTCAAAAATTAATTTGAGGAATACTTAAAGGAATTCATGTTTGATTTTGTGTGTATTCGATTTGGAGGACATTTAGCTTTCTAATTATGGTAAAAGATTTTCGAGCAGCGCTCAATTTTTTTCGTTGTTAATCTACCCATGTAGTTGGTCGGTTGGAAAAATGTGTTTTTTTACACATATCTTGAGAATATGTTTCTCTAAACTACACAATTTAAGACGGTTGAAGGTTTAAAATATTCATGAATTTGGTATAATTTAAAAAATTAAAGATGTACGTAGTCATCTCCAATGTACGTTGTCCCAGTAAATGAAATGCATGAGATATAATATTAAACAATGCAATGATTTAATTTCAAAACGCGTTAAGGGTTTTATGAGTAACAAGTGATGTTCAATGAACATGTTCATGTATCCCTGGTACAGATTAACAGGTAAAAGTTACCCCATGTTGAGTGCTATTTCATTTTATGAAAGTGTTGATATGGTGATTAATATTTGACCATGGGGTGTTATCTTCCAACCTCTTTGACTATTCGGCGTCGGAACGTTATGTTATGTTGCACTTTTATGAATTTTAATAATCTTAAGGAGTTCATGGAGATATCTATACTAGCTAATCGAAGATGACTTTCAAGTTTACGCTATATCTGGAAAGTGCTTGAGTTCAAAGGTTCTAGGTTAAATAAAGTTAAAGTAATATTGTTCAGTTTTAATTTGAAATGATGAATGATTTAATTTGTATTTTCTGTAAAACTTACGTGCTTGTTTTGTTTTGGCGTATGCTTTCAATGTTTATTTTTATAATTGTTATAACGGGGGCAAAATAAAAACAGTATTCAATGTTTATAAACCAAGGATACTACATGTACTTCAATGATACATAAAGTTTAATTAGCTTTCTTGCAATATGAGAATGTGATTTGAGTACGATCACTTCTTCTAAGCATCACCGTCTAATAGTAACTACTCACATTTAAATTAATATATAGGCCATGTGAGAGGGGAAACTGTCGCAAATGTATTTGCATAGAATTCAAGTACAAACCAATAACAATATACTGTAAGTAAATCTTCAAAGGTTGTTCACCAAATTAAGCATGACAGTTGAACGTGCGGGGTAGGGTACAACGCAACGGTGATGCAAATTGAGCTAAATGCATGATGTTTGGTACTTAAACGTAATAAGATACACTTTTATGAATTACAATAATCTTAAGAAGTTGACAGAGAGATCTGTACTAGCTAGTTGAAGATGACTTTTTAAAATCCTGTTTATGCAATATCTGGAAACTAGGCAACAGGGGAAAAGATGACCAAAGGAAATGTGAAAAAACCAACCTTTTTCAACCGATCATTGTTAGTGGGTGGATTTACTAGGAAAAAACTTGAGCACTGCTTGAAAATCTCTTAACGTAATTAGAAAGGTAAATGTCTTCCAAATTGAATACATATGAAATTAAACATGAAATCCTTTAGTATTCCTAAGATTAATTTTTAAAACCTAAATCACATCCACATCATAGTTTTTGCTTCTTATCAGTTAGAATAGTGATACCGTACATCTAAAGTGTACGATGGCCTGTTTTGTCACTGTACGTTGTTGATGGTTAGGCTTGATGTATCTGTACATAAATTACAAGCTATCCAAATTTTCTCAGGTTTTGAATGAATTGATTTGTGAGGTGAATGAACAAATGATCACCACTCCAAGAGAATTTTTTATCTGTTTCCCTGGTTGATAAATAAGAGTGAAACCATTGCGTCAACAGACGATTCCAATCCATTTCTTCTAGTCCAAGGGATAGCAAATACTTATCTGGAAATAAGGTGTAAAAGGTTTAGTGATTAAACTTCTTTTGACTAAAGATAAAACATGAAAAGGCGTAATTGTCAGTCCTGGGATACCTATACCTCCTTCATTGAAATGAATACATATCAACAAGCATTACCATATTTTGTCTTCAAAAAGTCTTCAAAAAAGTTTGGCTGCGTTTTGAAAGCATTTCAACCATAACTGAAAAGTTCTTGTTCATTATACATTTATTTCAATCATATTGCAGTCAAAAGAGTTACTGAAAAGTCCCTTGAGTGATTTTGATTTCATACAGATTTATCATACATTCAAGGAAGATGATTTGTGCCAAATTTGAAGAGCCAAAACACTATGGTTAGGAAGTTATTTAGCTTTTTTGCAGTTGCAGTCACCCCTGACTGCGTTTTTCATATTTTCCTAGTACAACTGTCTTTTGAGCAGGTGTCCAAGGCATCATGTTTTACAACTAATCAAGTACAGGAGCTATACATACACAGTCTCTCCTTTCTTTCCTGAAAAAATGAATATAATTGAATAAGTATTTTCCAAGATATAGCGATTTCTTTGGGTTGCGTTTTTTTTGAACACCCTGTACTTGATCACTCCTCATATATATAAGCTATTCAGTTGGATTTCATATTAAAATTATACTCAAAGCTAGTTTATAGATTAGTAATAAGTAGATTTATGCTAAATTTACATTGGATAAAAAAAATCAGGAAAACACGAAACCTAAACCCAAGCTTTTGAATGAAAGTTTATGTAACATATTTAAATGCATGAAGGAGGGGTTCAACTTTATCATAAAATGTGAAGAGTATTCACAACACATGCAACTCAGATGTGACCCTGCCCTCTGGATATTGAGTTTCACCTATAAAACCACTTCGTGTCACTTCAGGTTTACTCCCATTCTCTGTTTGCCACTTTTGTCACATATTTTTTTAATATATCACTACCATTATGAATGCTGCCAAGAGAAGTAGATGTAAACAAGCATGAGTCGAGGAAATAACATTAACATCAACATTTACATGGGTAACACTAATGTTAGAGGAATTCAGTTTTGCTTTCCCCCCCCCCGCAACATGTTTCAGATATTCCATACGATTGTTTAAGGACATGAAGGAGTAAGCCCTGGACTAAATGCAATGTGGAATGACCATTCCTTGGAGGTGTTGTTTTCCAAAATTAGCATGATGCAGGGCATTAAGTGTAAACTTTAGGAAACAACGCCTGAAAAGAATGGTCATTACACAATGCATTGAGTCTAGGGCGTAAATTCTTTTCACACATTGCAAAATATTTTTTACAAAATCATCTAAAAGATACGAAATCACTAAAAGAAGGGCCAAGTTGGCAAAGTATCACTTTCAATCTGTAGAGTCCAGTCATCACCATGACAACTGTTTAACTGGTGACCTTGTTTGTTATTGATTATATAACGGAATGCAGTGATATGAAATAGCGTGTTCTGATTCGCTGGAATTAGACACACCTTGCCTAGCTAAGTGTGAATTTCTATTTTAATGTTTTTTAAATTTGTGTTTATTTTGATTTCCAGATTAATTAGGTAGTCATGGTTGCTAGTTATATTGCTGCACCATAAACTTGATCCATAGAGAGCAATAGATTTAATTAAGTTATGAGAACTGTTTTCATATCATTGTAACTTATTAATTGATAGATTTTAAATAAGGCCTTATTATTTGCTTTCTGTAAGTTTTGTTTTCCTTGGTGTAAATGATCAAAACAATAATTCCCAGAGATCTATATTTTTTGAACATACAGTAAAACCTGTCTTAGTGAACACCTCTCTCTAGTGAACACCTGTCCCTAGTGGACACCCTTCCTACGCACATAGTCCACTGACTTCTGTATAAATTACCCTCTCTCTAGTGAACACCTACCTACAGTGAACGTTTTTTCTTGGCAAAAAAATGTTCACTATACACAAGTTTTACTGTATTGCATATTTTCATGATTTATATGAAACCTTTCATGACAGACATTAGTTGCCACCTTTCCAGAATTTAATCATTTTGATTAAAGTTTTGCCTACATTATTTTCAAGCATATAGAATGTTATGTAATACCCCCTCACACAAATTCCTGAGAGAAGACAAAATTTTCATCTTTATATTTCCAGCGCAGATATTGCTCTGATTGGCCTGGCCGTCATGGGTCAGAACCTGATTCTCAACATGAACGACAATGGCTTTGTGGTGAGTCATATATTTTTAATTACACAGCTTCAGTGTTCAAAAGTATCTGTTACATTTTTTTTATTACTAGCTCATACGGTGACCTATTGCATTCACTCACTTGTCTGTCTGTTTGTCCATCTGTCTGTCTGTCTGTCAATAATTATGGCAATTTTTAAAGGGAAAATTCTCTATGCGAGCTCAGAAATTGTAACTTCATTTGCATTAAAATTATATGTTCTCGTGTGTATTACCAAGTCTGGCTTGAAAATAAATCTTTAAAAATCGAAAATGGCTACCACTTTTGTCAAAAAACTATTGTTTGGTTTGGATTTGCATTAATCTCCAAGTAAAGCTCTCTTAGAGTGGCAATGAGGTTTTAAATTCTCAATTCTCGCTGTCAATTAGACTGAAATCGCTATACCATGTGAGCCCAGTACCCATGGTGCTATTTTTATTTGACAAAGGGAAACAATTTCTATTTTATTTCATGCAGTTTGCTTAGTACATAAATTGTGCAAAAACATCAATATTGTTATCCATGTTGTATTTGTAATTTGACCTACCTACAACATGACCTTTCTAGAATATTGGTAAAATGATGGATGTCAAAAGATGGTTTCAAAACATATAAACCTTTATGCAAACAAAACTTTGGGAAAATTGTAAATGAAGGAATTAGCCTCGGGAATCACCATGAACCGTACCATTTTACATTTATGTGTTCGTTGATTATATGTTTACAAGTGTGTGTACATAAATAAAAACAACAAATATTATTTGTCTACATTATTCTAGGTATGTGCCTTCAATAGAACTGTTGAGAAAGTTGAAAGGTTCCTCCAGAATGAAGCTAAAGGGACTAAGATAATAGGAGCCAAGTCTCTGGAGGACATGGTCTCCAAGCTGAAGCGCCCCAAGAGAGTCATGCTGCTGGTGAAGGCTGGTAGTGCTGTGGATGCCTTCATAGAGAAACTTGTCCCTCTATTACAGCCAGGCGATATCATCATAGATGGTGGCAATTCCGAGTACAGAGACAGCAATGTAATAAGGCATTCATATTTTTGATATCAAAATAAAATTATAAAAATCAGTTAAAGTCCCTGTCTTAAGTTTGAAAATATTTTTTTATCATTCATTTACTATTTGTCATGACTTTAAAAGTTATTTTAGAGACTTTTGAAAAAAATTGAAATTTTTTTTCGATGTCAATCTTTTCTAAATTGCTAGACCAATGTTAATTGTCTAACCAGGTTAAAAGGAAGAATATATTATGTTTTAGATATCATTGTACCATTGGTTTCTATGAGAACTAAAATTTTGAAATGCATTTTTCTCGGAACCATTTTCATGCACTGATGAGTTCATTTCACGCTTATTTATGAACCGATTTTCCTAATTTTTTCAGCAAAAGACATGCGAGGATGAATGCTATGCATTGGTGTGAATTGTGGCTAATTAAAATACATGTATATGTGTGACCTCTAAAAGTTAGTTTTAAATAAATTCACAAATTTTGGAACAAAAAGTCTATCAAAAACACTTTTTGAAATTTAAAAAAAGGTTTCACATATCACACTTTGATTACATTGGATAAGACTACAATATAAGCCAAAGTGGTTTAAACTTTATATGGGGACTTTAATGCTCAGAAATAATATCATTTTCACACATACTGTAGCTAGGCAAGGTGTGTCTAATTCAAGCCAATCAGAACACTATTTCATATAACTGAATGCATTATATAATCAACAAACCACCCAAGATCGTTTTACATTCTTTTTAAACTAATGAAACTGATAAGCTGATCAAGTTCATATTTGAGTAATGTTCTATAAATAGTATCATAGGGAATAACAAGCCACTTGCTTATGCAGATTAAATGGTAAGTGTTTGATGGTTGTCAAGGTAACAATCCATGATACTGACTAACACAAACAGAAGCAACAACTTGACCCTTGCATTAAGTTTCTTTGAAAATATATTATTTTTGCCCCAACTTGACCCTTGCATTAAGTTTCTTTGAAAATATATTAGTTCTGCCCCCCCCCCCTCCTCTTAAGGAATTCTTTGGATTTTCTTAAAATTGTGACTCTAACCCCCCCCCCCCTAGGAGGTAAGTTAGAGCTTGTCAAAGTTACCCAAATTTTCAGTAGTTTTGACTTAACAATAAACCCCAATGTTCTTAGAATATGAATTTCTTCATTAACAATGGCTCAATATACATTATATAAAGTAAGCTCAAAATACTGGGAATTGAATAACCTTTCCAATGCTACCTGATACACCCCCCTATGATTGATCGTTTTTGAGATCATAGCCCCCCCCCCCCATAAATGTTGGTGTGATTCTCTATAGCCTAACCATTTTTAAGGGTTAAGTCATTTCATATCTTGATGATATTGTTTAAAAAAGCTTGCAATGTGTGAAAAGAATTCAATCCTGAGACTTGATGTATTGTGGCTGATTCATTCCACTTAGGTGTTGTTTCCTTTACATCTCGGGCAAAGTTTGAAACAACACCTTAGAGGAATGATCAGAACAAAATTGAATCCTTTGATGATTTCTGTGCAGGGTTCTCCTAGACCTTACAAACTCACAATATTCACTGATGGTGCATATGTTGGATTGAATTATAATGTCTATTTTTCAGAGGCGTTCAAAAGAGTTAAAGAATCAAGGTATCCTATTTGTTGGGAGTGGTGTGAGTGGGGGTGAAGATGGGGCTAGGTATGGCCCCTCCCTTATGCCTGGGGGCTCAGAGGAAGCGTGGTAAGTGGTTTGAATGGTTCGATATATAGGTGTCATATTGCTCTCTTTCTCTCTCTTCAAAGTTTATTTTAATCAATAATATTTTGATGGAATTTAAAAAATTAAAATGATGTAATTTAGGTTTGGTGTTCTCTCTTTGGAATATTATAGTGCAGCTAGATTTTATATTAAACATAATACTAAAAATAGTCAAAGTATTTGTGAATATGTCACATAAATCGTACATATCTGCCCTGGTATTTTGTCCCCGAGTACACTTACATTAACAATTACTTACAGGCCACATATCAAAGACATCTTCCAAAAGATTTCTGCCAAGGTTGGGAATGAACCTTGTTGTGATTGGGTATGTGCATTCTTTATGATATGTAATTCATATAAGTGCATTCATTATGATAGAATTCCTAAGTACATTATTTGAAATGTAACTTCTAAGTGCACGTTTCAGTAGAATCCCTAAGTGCATTATTTAATGATTAAAACCCTAAGTGCATTATTTAATGATTAAAACCCTAAGTGCATTCTTAAATGTAGAAACCTTAAGTGCATTCTTTATCATGGAATCCCTCAGTGCAGACAATAAAATGGTATACTTTTAGAGAAATGATAAATGAAGAATCCTAAATGCCATTATGTTTTAGGTTGGAGATGAGGGTGCTGGCCACTTTGTGAAGATGGTTCACAATGGTATAGAATATGGAGACATGCAACTTATATGTGAGGCATACCAGCTGATGAAAGATACTCTTGGAATGACCCCTGATGAGATATCTAATGTAAGTTGCCAAACTCACCTTATGTCAGTAAAACCAAGGAAGCCCCTTGAAAATAACTAATAGTTAGATAATATCAAACAAAACCTTGTTTTTATCCCACTGAACCACTGAAGTCTGGTAGGGATATAGAGAAGCCATCCATCCGTTCATTCATCCATGCTATAACTCAAATACCACTCAATGGTTTCAGTTAAAATTTCATAGGCTTTTGCCTAATGGACATTGGACCTCTGCTCGAGAAGGAATTTTACATATGGCCACTCAATTCAAAATGGGCACAATTTTCTAAAAAATGTAAACTTCGATAACTCAAAGACCAGTTAATGAATTTGGTTTATATGCTGATGCCTCAGGGACAGAGCTCTACTTCCTGGTTATTTAATCATGTAATGTCAAAATTAACAAGGGATGCAATAAAATATGTTTTATTTGGTGGGATTTGCTACTCTGGGAGTTGTTGTTTTTATTCTGGTTATAACTTGGTAAATGTTGCATCTGAATGCTTAGGCTCAATAGGAAATTATTTTATTTTGAAAATTAACCACATTTGATAGTAGCTTACGTCATTTTCAAATCTGGATTCTACACCATTGAATAACATTTCAATGACTTAATATTAATCACAATGGAAAGCTATAGCTTGTTATTCATGAATAAGATATCAGACAATTTGTTTTGTTTCAAGGTGATGGAGAAGTGGAATAAGGGGGAGCTAGAATCATTTCTCATAGAAATTACACGAGATATACTCGCATTCAAGGACACAGATGGTTCATTCCTGGTAGAGAAAATAAGAGATTCTGCTGGTCAGGTGAGTGATAAAGACCAATAGACTACAAATCATCAAGCTGCTTTATAAAGGTCAATATCAAAATACATCCACAAATAAAATTAATTACGTAGGCAGAGGGGGGTACCCTTTTGGCTTTTTTAACATATATACAGTACATTTATGTTCATAATATTTGTTCCGACCCCATAATATTTTTTAAAGGAAGCAACTTTACTTTGAAAAAAAAAATGAATGTACAATTACCTGGTCCCAAATGGATGCAAGGAATCAAGGCAGTTACTTTATTTGCCTTATCAAAAGTGGTTGAATTGTAAAACAATATTTGGGTACTAATTAGTGAGAACTACATTATTTAGGTGATAGTTAGAGACCCATGCCTCTCTATCGTTTCAAAAAATGTACCTAACGTATCGGTCTCTGTTAATTTATGGCATCCATACTTTTCTGAAAGGTAACATATTGAGGTTCAATTTTCTGCCGGATGCCCTTGCAAACTCTCATTGGTTGCTCTGTATTGTAGCATTCCGTTACCATGGTTACGCATCTATAGACATCCTACCTTGGAATATTAAATCATTTGTAGCTTTGTCATTATTTGGTCTATTGATATGATATTGGTATCAAATTAAACCTAAATAAATTTCTCATATAATTAAAATATTCAATTATGCAAATTAGCTCATTTGCATAAATTGTGACGTCATAAATCTATTTTTCGTTCAGAATTCTCAAGTATAGCAATGTATCTTTAAGAACTGAAGCCGTACGATGGAATTTCTTCAATGTTATGACTTTTATTCAATGAGCAGAAGGTTTAAGCAACATAAAAGTGAAAACTGATTCAAAATTGGATCAGAACTAACAAAGTTATTAAGCTTTCTGGGCAGCTACCATGAACGTTATCATTGAAAATTAACGTTAAACATCTTACCTTAGAATTGAAATGTTTGGTAGCTTTGTCATTATTTGGTCTATAGAGGAGATCTTGGTATCGAATTGATCCTAATTGAATAAACGGTATGGTAACGGTATTCAATTATGCAAATTAGCTAATTTGCATAAATTATGATGTCATCAATCTATTTTGGGTTCAGAACTTCCAAGTATAGCAACAAAATTAGATCCGAGGTTGGATGGTGTAGTTTCTGCATAGTTTGTCATTTATTCTATGAGTGGAAGAGGTATGAGTAATATAAAAAAATATTCAAAATTGAATGAGTATTAGTAAAGTAATTCAGCTTTTGAGGCAGCTGCTATGAACATTACTATTTGACAATCATAAATAAAACACTGAAATAACAAAAATGAAACATGATGATGAAAAAAATGAAAGCTGATTCAAGCTTATTGAGTGAAAAATATATATTTTACATGTCACTGAATTAGTTGGTGTATAGAAATTCATAATTTTGACTGTCATTGACAGGGGTCAAAACAGTTTTTTTGATTTTGTAACATGATTTATTGTTTATGAGAAAGTTATGGATTAATCAGTACGTGAATGGGTGAATGGTATGGTGAAATCTGTTATGTAATCTATAAATCTTTGAAATGATTTGCTTCATAGGCGTCAATCTATTTAAAAATGCGAAACATCGTGACTGGTCAAACATCAATATTTGTGCTGCAATTCAAGCAGTGAACATCTACATGAATTTTTAAACTGATTTGCTTCATAGGCGTCAATCTATTTAAAAGGACGAGACATCATGACTGGTCAAACATTAATATTTGTGCTGCGATTCAAGCAGTAATCATCTACATAACCTATTAATACAAATTTATGACATTATATCACAAAATGTATGTCATTGCTGTTTTTATGTCACCACCAAAAGCGGTGACATATTGTTCTCCATTTGTCTCCATTTTTGAGACGGCGTTTGACATCTGTTTGGCATCTGTAACAAATGGTAGGTTGTGACATTTTGCATGTTTATGCCTTGTTTGAATTATTTACAAAATGTTATAAAAAATATCAAAATAATATATTTTTAAAAGCCTCATTTATTTTGAATTATTGCATTGAAGAGGATTCAAAGATTGACTTTTTGCATGCTGGTGACGTTGCGCCATTCTTACACCTAAAACCTAACCGATTTTACCATTGTATATGCTTTTTGAAGAAGGAAATCTTATTTGTTGAATTTTCTAGCAGAAATCGACTCCCTTCACTCATTTTGTCAGATTACTGGCAGTGACATTAAAGAGACAATTTTTATTATCTAGAGTGTCTCAAAAGATGAACCAAAGGTATATCAACAGCAAAGATAAATCAATCAATATTTTCAGATATTTTTGCATGGTCATTTAGGAAAAGCATGTAAGTTTTCTCTCCAATACTAATTTTTTAGTTAAGTCTTGCCTTTTTGATGCTTTAACCCTTTTTATACCATGTGTTTAATTTAACCTCCTTACATTTCGATAAAAGCCTGCATCCTTACTGCTACATTGTTTATCATATATGACAATGTTTCTGGTGGAATGTTTTGAATTTCCTTTCACATGTTGACCTCAAATTGTTCTATGTCTCTTGGCTTTGGGATAAACATAAACATGGTTCTTGAAGTCATTCCAGAGAAAATGTTTGGGGTGTCAAATCTGTTGAATAGGGAGGCCTTCACACTGTCTTTATATAGAAAGAAGAAACTGCTTTCATGGGAATTTTTGTTTGGCCCTTGCTGTACATGGAGGGGCTCAAACTGTCTGGAACCACAGTGTTCTCATTTGGATATCATTCAGTCTCTGTAACTCTGGCAGATGGAACTCCATTATCAATTAACCGCTAAATCATTTGACGATAATTGAGCTGGTTCTCTGTGATTGTTCTGCCATCTTCAACCTTGGAACTTTTTTCTCTGGGGCTATTTGAAGGAGCATGTTAAGCTAATCCCAAGCCAAAAGACCTAGAACAACATAAAGCCAACACCCAAAGAGAAATTAAAAACGTTCCACCTGAAATATTATCAAATGTGATGAACAATGTAGCACAAGGATACAAGCTGTCATCGAAATATGAAGTAAAAAGTAAAGGGTTAAATCATCAAAATGCAAGACTGAGCTGAAAACTTTGTATTGGGAAGGAAACTTACATGCTTTAGCAACATGACCATGCAAAAATATCTACAAAATATCTATAAAATAAATATTGATTGGTTTAATCGTGGTGTTAATATACTTTTGGGTACATTTTTGAGACACCTTGTACTATTTATCATACCAAGCTATTATAGTTCATAAATAGCATTGTATTTTTATATTAAGTGTTGATGAAGCGAGGACTTTAACCCAAGAGTTCCTACATCCATGTGACATTTATTTCCATGTGACTAACATCACCTTTATAGTGTAACTTTGAACAAATTAACGTTTTATCACCATGTCATCCATGTGACATTGATATCCGTGTTAACATCACCTCTATGGCATTCATTCATGTTATAGCCATCTACATGTACGTATATGTAACATCAATATTCATGTAGCATTACCCATGTCAAGGACCCATATGGCAGTGGTTGAATTTTTCTTTTGTTAATCTATTTCAGTGGTGACTTTCATGACAGGGATGCTTTTTATTCTTAATGTTTCCATCATCTTTGTCACATCTCCATGTTCACCTCACCAGTGTGATTTGACTCCCAAATATCATCTGTGTGACATTAATCTCCTTGTTAACATCATCTATAGCTGTGACATTGATTCAGCTCCTCTGGGCACATCTTATTGTGATGACTTTTGCCCCAGCATCCAGGCCTACATGTACATCTGAGACTTTTTGATAAAATCCGTTATACAGGGCGTTTCAAAAAACGCAACGGGTAGTTATCTCGTAAAATCACAAAACTAGTGATGACTACATCAATTTCATTCAATGTACCATGAAGCAACGTCTCTCCTCTTTGCGATGATATGTCTTAATTCACATGTGGTAATGATGGGTGAGAAATCCTTCCATTTGCACAGTGGGTCAAATTCGGGTCTGGTCCAAGTTTTAGATTTTGCAAAATGCCAATGGGAGTTCCCCTGACTTGAAATGCTGTGACTTTTTCTTTTGGAGCTATCTCAGGAGCATCTGTGCTCACAATTCCTTCACCAGATATTGCGAAACCTCGAGAAAGAATTGCCCATAGGCTGCTTTTCTCTGCTTTAACCCAAAGATGACTCGGGGCTGAACCATGCATGACGTGGACAAATGAGTGCATGTGCAAGGAAGTGGTGGCAATTTGGAGAGGTATAGGATGTATTCTTGCAGGAGTATGAGTATGAACACTTTACTGTCTATGCCACACCTGTCACACCTTCTTCCAATAGCCCCTATATCCCTTGTACTGACTTTTGCAATGTTTGAAACTTGAGTCCGAACTGAATTTTGCCCTACTTTGCAAAATAAATGATTATTCAGACAGCCATGACTCCCTGTGAATGAATGATATTCCATTGCAAAGAGGAGTAATTTGGCTTTTCGGTACATTGAATGAAAAGGATACCGTCAGCATTTGTTTTATGTATTCTTCCAATATTGCATCGGGCTCCGTACGCTGACTTTTGCGATGTTTATAACTTGGCCCCAAGCTAATTTTGGCCCACTTTGCAAATGGAATGATAACCCGCCCAACCATGACCAAATATCAATGAATGATATATCATTGTAAAGAGGAGACACATGACTTCATGGTGCATTGAATGAAATCAATGCTGTTATCACTGGTTTTGTGCTTTTCAAGTATAACAATCTGTTGCGTTTTTTTTTGAAACGCACTGTATTGATTAGATCTTCATTAGATTAGATCATCTAAACTATAAAAAGTGTAAATTACAATAGTTAAGATTCAACCTCTGTCAATCATACTATGTGATTAACTCCTTTATTTTGCACTTAAATCTCCTGTTGTTACAGTTCTCAGTTTTGAATGGTATCCATAGTGTATGGGGATATACCTGAAATCCATCCATTTGAGACTCATATTTTTCATAGATTTTTGGTATTTCATATTTTGGAAACCTTTTAAAACAAATTCAGATTATAAGTCCTATACCACACATACTTTGTGACATAAGAGATAGATGTAGGAAACCTACATGTAGATGTAGGAAGGGTTAGTTAAAGTCCTACAAAAATCAGTTCTTTCAAAAATATTTTAAAGGGCATTTTTTCTTCGTGGCTATTTTGATCAATATACTTTAATTTCAGGATTACTAGTACTACTACTGGGCTCTTGTATGGATTTTGTCATCATTTTTCATTGCATATCGAAGACGTTATATTATGTAAAATTATATAAAAACTACTTTTCATTTTGCTTCACTAAGTACCTACTTTATGCTTATAGTCCATTTTCAAAAAAGCTATAACATAAATCATTCTAAGGTTGATCACCAAGGATTTTGAAGGTTAAAAAATTCCCCTAAAGTAGTTGTCACTTTAGCTGTGTGGGCTCGCCATTTGCCACCGATTGACTTATTTTTGGCAATGTTAACATCTAAGTTCTAAAGTTGACACTTTATCTGTATTTTAAATATAAAATGGTAATTAAGATTTATTAAGTTTATGTCCAAATATCAAAAAAAATTGTTTTCAGCTTTTTCACATGTTAGAAATCAAATGAAACCAGGAATACACTTCCATATAAACTTTGTAAATATTGATATGTATATTAGTCAACATATGTCAAAATAGCATAATTAAAGCATTACTATGTATTCATATGGATCATTGACAGTGTATGGTAAATAATAACATTAGATTTTAAAATACAAGATCAAGATCTCATGATTTTGACCCCTGTGAATGATAGTCAAAATACATGTAACATTTCCACATACTTTCATGTACAGTTTAATGGAAAAATATGAACAAGTCATGCACATTTTTACTCAATAAGATTGAAACAACTATGTTTGTTTCTTTTTTTGTTATTGTAATATTTTTATAATTGTCAAACAATGACGTTCACAGTAGCTGCCCCAAAAGCTGAATAACTTTGCTAATTCTCACCCAATTTTGAATCTGTTGTCTCTCGAATGTTGCCTCTATCTTCCACTCATCAAATAAAGGTCAAAACTATGCACACATTCTGTCATACGGCCTAAGTTCTAATATTTATGTTGCTAAACTGGGATATTCTGAACAAAAATAGATTGATGACGTCACAATTTATGCAAATTAGCTAATTTGCATAACTGAATATTGTAATCGTACAGGATATTTTATAACGTTTAATTTGATACCAATATCATTTCTATAGACCAAATAATGACAAAGCTACAAACACTTTAAACGTCCATAGTCTGAATATAATTGTCAAATAATGACATTCACAGTAGCTGCCTCGAAAGTTTAATAACTTTGGCAATACTGATCCAATTTTGAATCTGTTTGCACTTTTATGTTGCTTATACATTCTTCATATAGTCTAAAGGACCAAACTTTGCCGAAATTCTGACATACAGCCTCAGTTCTAATAGATATGTTGCTATACTCGAAAATTCTGAATCAAAAATTGATTGATGACGTCACAATTGATGCAAATTAACTAATTAGCATAATTGAATATCATTACTTTATGAGAAATTTAATTAGGTTTAATTTGATACCAATATCGTCTCTATAGACCAAATAATGACAAAGCTACAAATGATTTAAGATTCCAAGGTAAGATGTCTATAGATGCGTAACCATGGTAACGGAATGCTACAATACAGAGTAACCAATGAGAGTTTGCAAGGGCATCCGGCAGAAAATTGAACCTCAATATGTTACCTTTCAGAAAAGTATGGATGCCATAAATTAACAGAGACCGATACGTTAGGTACATTTTTTGAAACGATAGAGAGGCATGGGTCTCTAACGATAAGTTTGCAAAATTAGTGCTAATTTGTGCTGCACCAGTAGGCCTAGTGCTTTGTGCTAAAAGTTTGTAGAATACAAATGAGCAAATAAAAAAAAAACTTGTAATTAAATTTTGACGACAGAATCAAAGATTCATTTCTGAGAGTTACATGTACAGCAGTTAGAAAATACATATTGTTTTTGAAAACTTTTTGAAAGTCTAGTTGTTCTAAAAATGATAATATGTTAGAATTGATAAATATGAAATGATATGAATTATTATATCACCACCAAAAAGTGGTGACATATTGTTATGTTCTCCATTTTTTGTGATGGTGGTGGTTGATCGGCGTCTCTAAGAAATTCTTAGTTGGTGTCTCTAATGAATTCTTACAACTTCCAGAAGTTAAAATCTGACTTTAGATTTAAGATTTGACCTTCTCAAGGTCGAAAAAGATTAAAAAAGGTCAAAAGGTCTTTTTTCAACTTGCTTCAAATTGACCATTTTTGTCTTTTTTAAATTCTTACAACTTCCAATAACTTAAGAAATAATGTTTATTCTGACTTCAATTTTCAAAATCATCTACAAGTTCTCAAAAGTTCAAATCTTACTATATATTTGAGATCTGACCTTCAATACCTTCTCAAGGTCAAAAAGATTTGACCTTAAATGACCTTTTCAAGGTAAAAAAGGTCAAAAAGGTATTTTTTCAACTTGCTTCAAATCGACCTAATTCTTTCTTTTAAATTCATCTACAAGTTCTCAGACTGACTTTAAATTTGAGATTTTCACCTTCAATGATTTTCTCATGTTCAAAAAGGGTATTTTTTCAACTTGCTTCAAATTGACCAATTTTTGTTTCAAAATCATCTACAAGTTCAAATCTGACTCAAGATTGAAGTCATAATATTGTGAGCAACTAGGTGGTGATATTTTGTCATATTAATGCCTTGTTTTTCTTATAGAAAGGAACTGGAAAATGGACTGCAATATCAGCTTTGGAGTATGGCATTCCAGTAACTCTCATTGGTAAGCTACAACTCAAATCATAAGGTCATGATATTAAAAATTGAAACTTATTTTGTATGTTGAATAAGATAATCCTCTTTAATGTCATGTACATCTATTTTCAAATTGAAGAGAAATGCATGTCAATGTGAATGACCCATATCTTGCTTTTTTGAGATAAACAATTCTTAAAGTTGGTGGGCAAAGGGAGGCAGTAGGTACAGATCTACCCAACATTTGATCATCCATTAAACCCAACATTTGATCATCCATTAAACCTGATATTTGATCATTCTTAAAACCCGACATTTGAACACCCATTAAACCCAACATTTGATCATCCATTAAACCCGACATTTGATCATCCATTAAACCCAACATTTGATCATCCATTAAACCCAACATTTGATCATCCATTAAACCTGATATTTGATCATTCTTAAAACCCGACATTTGAACACCCATTAAACCCAACATTTGATCATCCATTAAACCCAACATTTGATCGCCCATTAAAGCCAACATTTGAACACCCATTAAACCCAACATTTGAATACCTGTTGAACCCAACATTCGATCATCCATTAAACCCAACATTTGATCATCCATTAAACCCAACATTTGAATACCTGTTGAACCCAACATTCGATCATCCATTAAACCCAACATTTGATCATCCATTAAACCCAACATTTGAACACCCATTATACCCAACATTTGAATACCTGTTGAACCCAACATTTGAACACCCATTAAACCCAACATTTGATCATCCATTAAACCCAACATTTGAACACCCATTAAACCCAACATTTGAATACCTGTTGAACCCAACATTCGATCATCCATTAAACCCAACATTTGATCATCCATTAAAGCCAACATTTGAACACCCATTAAACCCAACATTTGAATACCTGTTGAACCCAACATTCGATCATCCATTAAACCCAACATTTGATCATCCATTAAACCCAACATTTGAATACCTGTTGAACCCAACATTCGATCATCCATTAAACCCAACATTTGATCATCCATTAAACCCAACATTTGAACACCCATTATACCCAACATTTGAATACCTGTTGAACCCAACATTTGAACACCCATTAAACCCAACATTTGATCATCCATTAAACCCAACATTTGAACACCCATTAAACCCAACATTTGAATACCTGTTGAACCCAACATTCGATCATCCATTAAACCCAACATTTGATCATCCATTAAACCCAACATTTGAACACCCATTAAACCCAACATTTGAATACCTGTTGAACCCAACATTCGATCATCCATTAAACCCAACATTTGATCCTCCATTAAACCCAGCATTTGATCATCCATTAAACCCAACATTCGATCATCTATTAAACCCAACATTTGATCATCCATTAAACCCAACATTTGAACACCCATTAAACCCAACATTTGAACACCCATTAAACCCAACATTTGATCCTCCATTAAACCTAGCATTTGAATACCCATTAAACCCAACATTCAATCATCCATTAAACCCAACATTTGATCATCCATTAAACCCAACATTTGAACACTCATTAAACCCAACATCCGATCATCCATTAAACCCAACATTCGATCATCCATTAAACCCAACATTTGATCATCCATTAAACCCAACATTTGATCATCCATTAAACCCAACATTTGAACACTCATTAAACCCAACATTCGATCATCCATTAAACCCAACATTCGATCATCCATTAAACCCAACATTTGAACACCCATTAAACCCAACATTCGATCATCCATTAAACCCAACATTTGATCATCCATTAAACCCAACATTCGATCATCTATTAAACCCAACATTTGAACACCCATTAAACCCAACATTCAATCATCCATTAAACCCAACATTTGATCATCCATTAAACCCAACATTCGATCATCTATTAAACCCAACATTTGAACACCCATTAAACCCAACATTTGATCATCCATTAAACCCAACATTTAATCATCCATTAAATCCAACATTCGATCATCTATTAAAGGGTGACGCATATCGTTTAGCAAATCGAACGCTCGTTTCTGGTGTTGCTCACCGTTTAGTATAAAAGGCCCGATCCCGGAATAATACTCAAGGGTTCACAGGTTCGATGTCGTTGTGTCAACACCTCTAACTGTTATATAGCCTAAGTATATTATAGATCGTCACACATTTATAAAAGGGTGATTTTTATTTTGACAAATCAATTCCAAATTTATGGGTGAAGTTTCAGGATCTTCTATTTGTGTATAATGAGGAAAAATTGGCATCTACATTTCCCCATAACGTAATAGCACACAGCTTGGCATATGAAATATCCTACAAATGAAACAAAGCAGTTCTAATACAAGGATTTGTATTGGCTGTTGTACATGTACTGTTTGAACGCAATCACTCTATGGATAACGTTTTCAAAATCATTATAAACGGATTACTTTATCTCAAAGACAATTTCAATAAACTGGATTTTACAGAACTCCCCTTATTTCTTAAAAATGGACTGATCCAGTTGATTCGCCTGGAGCCGCCATATTGTTTTTATACGGGATGCTTATCGTCACCCTTTAAACCCAACATTTGATCATCCATTAAACCCAACATTCGATCATACATTAAACCTGACATTTAAACAACCATCAAACCCAACATTTGATCATCCAATAAACCTTTTGATTTTTACAGGAGAATCTGTGTTTGCTCGTTGTCTGTCAGCCTTAAAAAATGAAAGAGTAGAAGCTAGCAAGAAACTCGTGGGACCAAGCAATTTGAAATACCAGGGAGATAAGGAGGAGTTTATAGGACATATACAAAAGGTAGAAAAACAATATTACAAACTAGATAAAGATTGAAGTTGCATTTTATCAGACTTTGAACTTTGAAGTTGATATTTAATTGTGAGCTAGTGTGTGAAATTAGAAGGGTCATAATCTTGCTGATTTCTCATCATGTAGCTGTAAAATGAACTTTAGTAGAAGTATTCTCAAATTGAGATTTTGTGAAACTTGTGTTCACTTTATTGCTTATTTACTATTTTTGTTTATTCACTTTTTACAATAAGCAATATATTTCAATTTATGACTAACTTTAATGAAGTAAGTTAAAGATCTCCCTAATTTCTACATATTTCTGAACTGAATGACTTTCTTAGCTATCAATATGACAATTGAAAATACTTGCATGTGGATAAGTGTGATTATGTAAAATCACGTGGACAATAATATACTTGTATTATAACATTCTAATTCTTTGTGATCCAATTATTACATGTACATGTACTTGAATAACAAAAAATAATTCAAGGAACATTATTATTTCAGGCACTGTATGCATCCAAGATTATCTCTTATGCACAAGGCTTTATGCTAATGCGTGAGGCAGCTAAAGAATTTGGTTGGAAACTGAACTATGGAAGTATTGCGTTGATGTGGAGAGGAGGCTGTATTATAAGAAGGTGGAAATTCAAATCATATCATAATCATTGTTCAATGTTACAATTTAAAGTATATGTACAAAATAATAAAACTGTGATACGGCGGTATTTGAGTAACATCTACATGTGAATTTAAATGGTAATTGAAATGAAATTTACTTTTCATAGAATTACCATTACTGTACAGTATGATTATACTGTTCTGTAACAATGAATTCAATGTGCATTATGCACCATATTGCTGGATTACTCTTGCGATCTGCCATTTTTGATTGAATGTATTTTCAAGACAAACATGTAATTTAATTTAAGTGTACTTGTATTGATGTATTTATGTGATACCCAGTTTCAAGGTGTTTTCTTCTGTTTCAGTGTGTTTCTTGGAAACATTAAATCTGCATTCGATAAAAACCCAGATCTGCAAAACCTACTCTTGGATAATTTCTTTAGTGAAGCTATCCAAAAATCACAGGTACATTCTTATGATATTACTAGTATTGACTAGGATAAATAAATTCTCTGATTTCAGTATTCACCAATACCCCAAATACCACTTCCCTACACATATACTTATTTTAATATGTGTACATGCATAAGTCTAACCTCATTCTGGATTATCAAACCCCATCTTTATATCTGCCACTTCAATTATATGGTTTGGCAATTGTGAAAATGGGAATAAAAATGAGATCAAAAATACCCAAACCTACCATAATGGCCCTAATTTTTAAATATTTCTAGACCCTGTATATATATTTTATTCATTTTCAATATTAAGGAATCATGGAGGAAAACTGTATCAGCTGCTGTTACGTTAGGCGTGCCCACCCCTGCCTTCAGTTCAGCTCTTGCATTCTATGATGGGTACAGGCTAGAGAGACTCCCCGCCAACCTTATTCAGGTAATTACATTATCACATTAAAGAGGTACACACTGTTAGTGGAGACAATCTTTGACATTCTTTTAAATAAAAGCAGCTGTTTGATGTGATGTTACACACAGGTGTTACTGTTGGACAGTAATGCTAGTGTTGCTTTCAAATATTCTAAATAAAACATAATAAAGCTGAAGATATTCTTGGCATCGCATGTTTTACACATTCTAGAATTCCGTGTTTTGCAATACAGCGGAATTTTCCTTTTCAAAAAATGTGCAGAATTTATTTTTTTGTACAATATTTCTGCATTGATTTATCAAATATTAAAGCATACCTCAACAGCGTTGTCCTCAAAATCCAGCCATAATTTAACCTCTTCTTGTCAAAATCTAAATGGCTCGGCTAAATAGCAGACAACTAGTATAGCTACAAATCATGAGATACATTTGCAGAATGTGATGCAGAGTGGATGTATTTTTAAAAATTATTTCAGGCTTTTTATTTTGGTGCCCAAACCTTTGAACATTTAACCAAAAATTGTCCTCATTAAAAATGTTGGAAAAGTTGTCCATAATGCAGTTATATCCTTATCCCAGACATTTTATTCTTTCTAATGGTATATTCAAACCATTCTGCAAATAATGTTATTGAAATTGTACATGTGTATATTCCGGTTTTATTAAATTGAGATGTTTGTAAAGAGTTGATGATAAAAAATTGTTATTTCAGGCTCAGAGAGATTACTTTGGTGCCCACACATATGAATTGTTGACTTCACCTGGCACCTGGCACCATACAAATTGGACTGGACACGGTGGCTCTGTCTCTTCATCCACATACCAGGCATAAGAAAAACTTAAATGGACGCAACCCAATCAATTTCTTCACTACAGCCCTATAGTATGGGATTTATAACTTCAAAATATGTGAATAATGACTTTATAGTGTGTTAAATTTGAATATTTTACTAAAATTGCTGTAAAATTCAGTTAGTGCAGTATCTGTCTAACACACTTAACAAGAGATATAATCTGATGATCCGGTGATCTGATGAAACTTTGATGATGATTTGCCAATTGTTGTTGACTTGTTCATATCTTTGGAAAAAATATTTTGGGCTCCAGTTGGAGCTGACCCGAATATATGTACATGTACTAGTCGAATAGTATGTTGATTCTAGGTTTGAAGTTTTTATATTCTCAAATATGCTGTGAGAAAAACAAATTCTAACATTCTGTTGGGAGGAAAAAATATTATGGTCAAAGATATAAATGGTTATGTGAATAAAAGATAAATATGTTTCTTCTGTATACTTTGTATCTCTTGCACTAAAACTAGGGATGGAAATGTTGCACTACTCATTGACAATAAAACTCTATTTTGTAAGTAAATCTGTTTGTATTTCTCGATTTATGCTCTCTGCATTTGTTGTTCAAAGACTTTTTGTTGTGCTTGAACACACAATTAATACTGTACCAAAAACAATTATTGAGATGGAATTGTGACACTGCACCCTATTTGTTATCCCACAGAATGAAGTTTGAGGGGAATATAGGAAAGCTGTCTGTCCGTTCGTCTGTCCAGGCGATAACTCAAATACCTGTTGACGGATTTGATTCAAATTTTATAGGCTTATGCCTTATGGGGGTAGAACCTCTGCTCGAGAAGGAATTTTCTATATGGCCACTCAATTCAAAATGGGCACCATTTTTCAGAAAAAATGTAATCTTTGATAACTCACATACGAGTTGATGGACTTGTTTCAAATTTTAAATCCTGATACCTAGGGACAAAGGAGCTTTGCTCAAGGAGACATTTTCAAGATGGCTGAGAGAATGGCCACCATTTTTCGTAAAAAAACATAATCTTTGATCACTCAAGTACCTGTAGACAGATTTTGTTCAAATTGTATATGCCAATGCTTAGGGACACAGGACCTCTGCTTGATAAGGAATTTTTAAGATGGCAGCTGAATTTCAAAGTGGCCACCATTTTTCGTAAAAGAATGTAATCATTGATAACTCAAATACCAGTTGACGGATTTCGTTCAAATTTTATATGCTGGTGCCTAGCAACAAGGGACATTTTCAATATGGCTGAATTTCAAAATGGCCACCATTACAAAAACACTCTTTGATAACTCAAATACCAGCGGACAGACTTTGTTCAAATTTTATATGGTGATGCCCAGGGACACAGGAGCTCTGCTCGATAAGGAATTATCAAGATGGCAGTTGAATTTTAAAATGGCCAGCATTTTTTGTAAAAGAAAGTAATCATTGATAACTTAAATACCAGTTGACGGATTTCGTTCAAATTTTATATGCTGATACCTAGCAACAAGATCCATTTTCAATATGGCTGCTGAATTTCAAAATGGCCACCATTTTTTGTAAAAAACAATCTTTGATAACTCAAATACCAGTGGACAGACTTTGTTCAAATTTTATATGGTGATGCCCAGGGACACAGGAGCTCTGCTCAATAAGGAATTATCAAGATGGCAGTTGAATTTCAAAATGGCCAGCATTTTTTGTAAAAGAAAGTAACCTTTGATAACTCTAATACCAGTTGACAGATTTGGTTGGAATATTATATGCTGATGCCTAGAGGGAAAGGAGCTTTGCTCAAGGAGACATTTTCGAGAAGGCCACTTAATTTCAAAATGGCCACCATTTTTTCCATGGCCATGGAGTTTTCTAGTTATGGTCTTGGAAATAGATATTTACTGACAAATTGTCCTGGGTATATACAAATCTTAAAATTATCCAACAACTGAGTTCTGTTGACTTATACTCTGTTGTGTGTGCAGCCAGTGATATTGTCTTAACTGTATTATTGTTTTACACTGGTAATATACCCCAGCAAATGTAAGACAAGGCATTAACATGACAAAATGTCACCACCTAAAACAATTTGGTCAATTTAAAGAAAGTTGGAAAATACCTTTTGACCTTAAGAAGGTTTGATTTGAACTTCTTAGAACATGTAGATGATTTTGAAAAAAAATTCGTCAATTTGAAGCAAGTTGAAAAAATACCTCTTTGACTTTTTTTGACATTGAGAAGGTCATTGAATTTCAAATGTCAAATGTAAAGTCAGATTTGAACTTCTGAGAACATGTAGATGATTTTGAAAAAAAAATTTGTCAATGTGAAGCAAGTTGAAAAAAGACCTTTTTGACCTTGAGAAGGTCATTGAAGGTCAAATGTCAAATCTAAAGTCAGATTTGAATTCCTGAGAACATGTAGATGATTTTGAAAAAAAAATTAGTCAATTTGAAGCAAGTTGAAAAAAGACCTTTTTGACCTTTTTTGACCTTGAGAAGGTCATTGAAGGTCAAATGTCAAATCTAAAGTCAAATCTAAAGTCATATTTGAATTTCTGAGAACATGTAGATGATTTTGAAAAAAAAATTTAGTCAATTTGAAGCAAGATGAAAAAATACCTTTTTGACCTTTTTTGACATTGAGAAGGTCATTGAAGGTCAAATGTCAAATCTAAAGTCAGATTTGAATTTCTGAGAACATGTAGATGATTTTGAAAAAAAAATTTAGTCAATTTGAAGCAAGTTGAAAAAAGACCTTTTTGACCTTTTTTGACTTTGAGAAGGTCATTGAAGGTCAAATGTCAAATCTTAAGTCAAATCTAAAGTCAGATTTGAATTTCTGAGAACACGTAGATGATTTTGAAAAAAAAATTTAGTCAATTTGAAGCAAGTTGAAAACAGACCTTTTTGACCTTGAGAAGGTCATTGAAGGTCAAATGTCAAATCTTAAGTCAGATTTGAATTTCTGAGAACACGTAGATGATTTTGAAAAAAAAATTTAGTCAATTTGAAGCAAGTTGAAAACAGACCTTTTTGACCTTTTTTTGACCTTGAGAAGGTCATTGAAGGTCAAATGTCAAATCTAAAGTCAGATTTGAAGGTCAAATGTCAAATCTAAAGTCAAATCTAAAGTCAGATTTGAATTTCTGAGAACATGAAGATGATTTTGAAAAAAAAATTTGTCAATGTGAAGCAAGTTGAAAAAAGACCTTTTTGACCTTGAGAAGGTCATTGAAGGTCAAATGTCAAATCTAAAGTCAGATTTGAACTTCTGAGAACATGTAGATGATTTAGAAAAAAATTGAAGTCAGTCTAAACAGTATTTGTTAAGTTATAGGAAGTTGTAAGAAATTGTTACAGACGCCGGACGCCGGACGCCAGACGCCGGACGCCAACCACCAACCGCCGTCGCAAAAAAACGGAGACCATAACAATATGTCACCACTTTTGGTGGTGACATAAAAACCGTACTGAACTAAACAACATGGAAACTGTAAACTGATGAGCTTGCACACCCATATAAAAATCAACTCTTAATTCACTAGTGTAAATTCAGCGCTCTTTGTCACCGAAATTTAAGACATTTTAAATGAATATTTACTTGAAAGTTGATCTCATTATTATATCTTGAACCCTGTCAGTTATCTGTGCAGTAATACTGGCAACATATAGCACAGAGTTTACACAAGCTGATCAGAAGACTTTGTTTTTATATGGGTGTGTAAACTATATCTATTTCAGTGTTGTTTTGTTACATACCATTTTTATGTCACCACCAAAAGGTATTGTTATGGTCTCTGTTTTTTGTGATGGCGATTGGTGGTTGGCAATCAGCGGTTGGCCTCTGTAACAAATTCTTACAACTTCCAATAACTTGACAAGTGCTTTTCAGTCTGACTTCAGTTTTTTTCAAAATCATCTACAAGTTTTCAGAAGTTCAAATCTGACTTAACTTTTAAGATTTGACCTTCAATGAGTTTTTTAAGGTAAAAGGTGTCCAATATTCTCTATTTTACCCTGCTTAGCCTCTGAATTTCAATTGAAGGTTATTATAAAGTTAATGTTATAATCACAAATAATATCACCTAAAGGAAGAATACTCTAATCAGAAGAATGTCATTTTATTATTAAGAAATTGGGCACTCACTGTTCAATGGACATAACATTGGAAGTCATTTATTCACAATTATATCTACATTTATTTTCCTCAATTGCATAATAAATTCCATTTTATGTGTTATTGCCTCGTAAATATGTATTTGTATGCTGTGTATAATGTACATTATGTATACATAAAAGTATTTGAAACTGAGAAACCAATATTATTTAAAATACTGTGTATATCTGTATGTGCACAAAGAGAAGTCAAAGGTTTTTACATCAAATTAAAAATATTTACAAACATACATTTAATTCATTGGACATACACATCCTATGTTATATAGTTACATACTGCAATTTTAATAATAACTACTACCAGTTTCTATTGTTTTATACTTCTGCAAAGTTTTAAACTCAAATAAAAGTATTGAGCCTATTAACCAATGCAATTTTTGTGACCACCTCTTATTAAAAAAGAATTCTGGAATCATACATCCTGACATTTCAAACATTTAGATAACTAAGATAACTGATATATTTGATATTAACGGCAAAAAATCAAATCTACTGTGCTCAACCAAACGAAATGCTAGAAATAACATTTGCAAATTCTCAATGGGCATATGGCACCTAATTTTCTTTTTTTAAAAGGAAATATCAGGAAATTAGAACAGTTCTTACTAAAATAAACGTCAACTAGTATAATAATGACAAAAAGTGATTATTGAATGAAAAACCTTCAATCGCTCACTCCCCAGAAGGTTAACACTTAGCAATCCATGGATTTGCACCCATGGTCTATTATTGTTCAATAATACATCAATAAAACATTGTGCTGACATTTCTTGTCCTTAGACTGCAAAGGGTTAACTGCCACGGAAAAGATATGCAGTGTACTTGAAATGTACATATATTATGTACATAAAAATAATGATCACCCTAGGCAAGTCGTCTTACAAAGACATTTTGCTCCATATCTCAATAATATAGTATGCGAGTACAGTTACAATTTACAAACACATATATAGTAAACTTGTAAATAAAACATATTCATTCTTATACCATTATAAAGGTGATTGTTTTTCTGTTGATTAATATTTTTGTATGCCTTAATAATTGTATAACAACATTTCTGTATATCTGACACTAACATTACTGTACATAAAATTCTGGGTTAAAATATAATGGGACAAATTAAAACAAATAACAAGATAGTATTTTCATATGAATAACAGTGACAGCTTTCAGTCATATATTGACTGACTCTGTGAGGTACTTTTGTGAGACATGCTAAAATGGTCAGAGTTTTTCTGGAATTACTAAAATTCTTTGCCAAATGCCAATATTGGAAAAAGTTAATTATTAACAATAAAAAGGTGAACTCTCGCGAATATTCCTCAGTAAATATTCAAACATCAGCAAATGCTAGGATGGCAAAAGTCAATTTGTTTATTTGTGGTGGATATACGAGTATACTGGCTTGGTTTTCTTTGAATCACTGTTCACAAGTCATGTAGATCCAAAATGTGTGGTTGGTGAAAATGTAGGCTTATTCCCTCTATTCTACCACAAGTTACCAACAATTTGATACATAGGAAGGTAACAATTGTAGATGTCAAATTTGCTTTTGTCAAATATGAACTCTATTTTCGCTCTGGCAATATACTTCCACCATTATGGTGGGGCATAAAAAGTCTCTGACCATTATCTCACACATCTGTGGTAGAGTCAACACTCCTGTCTTTATACCAAGCTACAGGGACAGAGTCAACATTTCCGTCTTTATACCAGGCTACAAAGGGCAGAGTCAAAACTCCTGTTTTTATACCAGGCTATAAGGGCAGAGTCACGTCCCTCTCTTTAAACTAGGCTACAAGAATTAGCTGACCAAGCCTACAGGTTACATACAGCACATAAACTGTACATCAGCCATCATGATTTTATTGGCCTATATAAGATTTGATGTATTATATATCTCACGATCCTACAAGCTTCCAAGCTTGAGAAAACTACATCAATCATAAATTCAACAACCATGTTCTCCTGACAATTACCTATGTGGCAACGTTCAACAATGCTTAACGAGAACACACTCAATGCAGTAATGGTATTTCTGCCATTATGAGTAACAGCTGTGAAAATCTGCACAAATCACTTACTCCAAACATTTCATTATTTCTTTACACCATAACAGTTTCTTGTTTAATCTGTGTTAGTGTAGTATCTGTTACATTGTCTGTCATTACATTTGCATCAACCTCCATGGCATTTGTTTCACCATCTTTACTCTCAGTACTGCTTTGTTTGTCACTTGACCAATTATAGGGAGCACTACGTGCTTCTCTACGTGCTTTTCTTTTGGCACGTCTCTCTTCCATCATTTGTTGGAGGTGTTCAACTTTGCCTTTCAATGCCTGATTCTCCTGGTTCAACTGTAGGTGGTCACCTGGATATAGAAAAGAATACAGGGTTAAGATCAATCAAACTATCAAACGAATGGTTCATACAGTGTATGAAGCAAAGACTTAGTATAGGAAGTCGTGAAAATGTCTAAAATGGTAGCCATAATCTTAATGGTGCAACAATAAGCTATAACTATATTGACAATATCTGATTCATAAGGTGTATATTCATTAACTGAATAAAATGGTGGTCCTGTTTTAAATCACTTGTATATTTCTGCTGTTTATTACATCTACTGATGTAAATATTGGTATAATAAACTGGTGGCATTTCATTAAGTGCCTCCCAATGGGAATAAATTCCTAATAGCTAGAGTGAGGCCTCACATTTCTCCCACAAGTTCCATCAATCATGATTTCCATTATAGTTTCAGATCTTCAGGTTATTATATCTATGTTGACTATTTAGGATTATTCAATGTTCCTGGCACTTTGAATGACAATCACATCATTTCTATAAAGATTATCTAGTCTGGCTTGACTGAATATGAATAAATCCTGCAGGAATCATTTTGTTTACGTTCTTTAGACGAATAAATTACAGTCACTTTCCAGATATGGCAATTAAAACCTTTCGAATCTCTTTGTTATGCAGAGCAAGGCATCTGACCTTTTATATAATTACCATTCTATCAAAGCGTCTGACATCAGCCAGTTATCTTTAATGCCACAGGAGACAAAGATAATAGAAAACATAGTGACATTTAAAAATAGAGCAAAAGTCATTTTTCATAATTAACTGAACAGAAGTTTTGCTAGTTATATAGGTTTGAAATCTTGTTGAAGTCTCGTTTTAATTAAGATTTGCATATTTAACCATTTAGGACTTTGAAGTTTGGGCTAAATCCTCAATTAACACAATGCTCAAAATTATTAGCTGCTCCTTTTTAAGGTCATATTTATTATAATAAATCACAGTCTGCATGTCAACAAGAGCATCTTGTTGCATTCCAATAGAGTTTACATTATCCAATCAGAAATATTTAAGAAACTACAAAATAACCATATTTCATTATTATCAAAACCCTCTATCACTAAAAATATTTTTAAGTCTGAAGTCTATGATAGAACAAGGACGACACATCTTAACTTAGTAATCACTTTTATAGCTAATTCTTTTTAGTAAAATAATGTTCCACATCTATTTGCCTTTTTACCAGATCAATTCTGAGATGAAATTATGGGTGGTCATTTGGAATGTCAAGTTCATCAAAATTGGCAATCTACTTTGCATGTCCTTGCTGCAAATGATCACATATCTGAATTTGTTACCCTGAATCCATTGGCATATTGCCCTCTAATTAGGACCAATCATTCTTAGGAAGACTCGCCTTCAGAGGGTTATCAATAATGAAAGAATTTATGCAGGATCATTCTTGTAAATGGTGTGCATTTAGTAACTTGTTGAACCGAATAGAATAATGAATGGGAAACGATGAATATCATATAAAATAAGATAGTACACTTGTAACCAGGTTTTCAAGAATCTTTCCACCATCTGTAAGGTGAATTGCGGTAAAACATAATAAACCCTGACATTTGTTTGAAGGCTCGTTACCAGCCTTTTGATAAGGTTAACCTTTAAAAGTGAATCAACTTAGCATGGAATTGAAGCTAAATTGTATCTAATGAAAGCAGAAGATGTTCTCAAGTTAAAAAACTGATCCTTGATTATACAAATGCCTCATTCGTGCCCTTTAGGTCTCTAATTAATGGGTGTTTCATGGTTAAATGGTCGCCATTGCAAAATGGACAAGAAGCGTGCTTATTAATACTTGACTGATGTATTAGACTATTTCATTCGGCGCTATAATTAATTATAGCATGACATCATATGTGACCTTTATAGAATAATAAGAACATGAAAATAAAAACAAATGCCTTGCAACTGTGTAACTAATTGGAAGCTGAATGATGAAGTTGATTTATTTTACATCCACATTCAATAAATTCTATATTATTACTATTCTATATTGAAAGAAGATATAGCTGTTATTGATGGCTGTTACCAGTCAACCTTTCACTGCCCACTAAGATGTGTGTCAAGAGCCTTCTTAAAGCCACTCTACTAACTAAGTCTCCCAAAGTGGCCACTCTATAGTCACAATATATTGCAATATGCAATATGAATGTGATAACTTCTCATTAGCACATTTCTGCTGAAAGAAGGTGGTAGAGACGTTGGGCCATATTTCGTAATACTGTAAAACATGTTAAATTCGCAAGCATCTTGATTCACGTAGATGTAAAATAGCAAATTCAGGATCCCGCGAATTTAAAAGTGGACGTCACAATTTTTTTCCTGGGTAACGTGAATGAAGAATAAAATATACTAGTATACAGTATTTCTAAATATGCTTTGTTTATTTTATTCAAGTGTTGTTGCAATTGTAAAACAAACATGAAAACAAACATAGAAGTCATGTTAAAATATATTTGTTTATTTCAATACTGCAAGCTATGTTTTAATGGTTATTTGCTTGCAACTAGAATAATAATCCAAAACAATCCGAAACTGGTTTTAATTCTTATCACAATTCAATGCAATTTGACAATTAACTATGTTAACATTTACAACACAGAATTGATTTATTATTCGCTTATTGTGGTGGAAAATCGCGAAAACATGAATACGCGAAAAGAATCAAATGTACAAATCCACGAAAGATTGCTCCTGCGAATTTAAAGTGTTTTACAGTATTCCTCTTTATAGTTCTTCATTGCCAGAGAATGATTATGCATGATCAGTGATGGTAGAAATCTAAGAGTGAACCAGAACTGATATAGCTATCTGCTATGTTTGGTGAGCACTCTCGTATTGATCGCTGCCGATAACCCTACTATTGATTTGAGCTATGAATCTCATACCATCTTGCAAGATATGCAACCATTCACATACAATTACCTTTGGATAGAGCAATCAAATTACTTTTAATTCCTCACTAGAAACTCTACGGAGTAACAAATCTTACCGAACAAAACATATTGTATTAATACCGTGTCATTTTTGACATTACATGATAGAAGACCAGTAACATTGTCTCCTTTTGGCAAAATCAACACCCATGCTGTGACATGATGCCATAGACTGTATATTAATTTCTGTGTGACCTAAGGTCTTATGCCCATAACACATTTTTGCCACTATGACATTAGTTTGCTATTTAACTGGTATTTCTTTGCTTAAAAATGACAGACATTTTGAACTGAGCAGCCGTCTTGAAAATTCCTTCTTGAGCAGAGTCTGTAAGGTATTAAATGTGTCGACTGGTATTTGAGTTATTAAACAATACATTTTTTATAAAAAATGGTGGTCATTTTGAAATGAGAGGCCACATTGAAAATGTTTGTTTGAGCAGAGGTCCATTGTCGATAAGATATTAACCTATTGAATTTGAACAAAATTCCATAATTTGGCTCAAATACTTAAAACTTCTTGTTAAGTACATGTGGCAACTGCTTTTGGTTCAGTAACTTCTAAGAAGGCATTAACATGCAAAATGTCACCACCTCCCATAAACACCAAATGCCAAACACAAATCTCAAAACACCATCCACGAAAAAAGTTGGAGACCATTATGTCACCACTAGACTAGTGGGGGTGACATAAAAACTGTCTTAAACAAGTGAAAAATGAATAGGATCACCCGTTTGAGTTCAGGACACACTGATTTATGGAAATCAAGCACATACAATGATTCAGCTGGTCTCCCAAATGGTAATAATAATCAATTCTATTGAAACCTATGAGAGGTAACATGCTACATGTTTAAATAATGTAAGAGACTGTGATAATAATCTATAAACATACATACCCTGTGATTTCACCCTTGAAGAATGGGATATTGCTCCTCTCTCCCTCCTCTCTCTATGCTTACTAGTGTGGCCAGTTTTATACTGTGGGGTAGCTCCTAGTAGGTCATTAAGTATATGAATAATTGTATTGATACTTTTCTTAGGGTTGCCTTGTTTGTCTTGTAATGCAGGGTTCAATGAACCTGCAAGCATAGAAAAATAAAATGTCAATTAATGAAAAAAACATAAAAGAAACCAAATTAACTTTCTGGTTTGACATTTCATTGTACTTTTGGAGGATAGCATCCATTCTAAGTTAGGGAATATAGATGGCACACTCTGTGCATGAAATTAATCCCTGCCATTATGAGAGCACAAATCAATAGTAAAGCCACCTTAGCCTCAAACCGCAAAGGGCAATAATCATACGATGAGATGGTTCAAACAATATAATAGGCAGATAATGTCTGAATCCATCTAACTTTAATTGCCTAGCCTTTAGCTAATAGCACCTTTTTTTGTTTATCGTCAGATTTTTACATTTGAGCATACACATATATATAATATATTGAGTAATAATTCAATAAAATAGAAGCCCCTGTAATCTAGGGCAAAGGGGTGTTATGTCGATGTGTGGGGTAAAGTCGACATAAGAGACAGTTTAACTTCGACACTTACTTATTTAAGTAGAATTTCTGTTTTCAACCATGTTTGATTTCTGGAAAAATTTAAATCTCGTGAGATTTCGATCCATGCGAGAAAAAAAACATAGCTTCCCCCTAGATCGGAAATTAGGGCAAATAAACAATAAGGTGTTGAAGTTACCCCACATGTCGAAGCTACCCCAAAATGGTGTCAACGCTACACCCCTTTGCCCTATATCTAAATATTTTGACTTTGATAACAAAGTAGATGTGACATAATACAAGGTATACGGCAAGTATGATACAATATTCAGAGCGAACAAGCAACCAGGCCTGTCAATAAATGGGACTGTGGCATATAATGATCAATAAAAATAGCTAACTAGTCCTATTACTGCTCTATCTAACAACTGTGATTCCATGTAGGGGGCTTTGACACAGCTTGCCATTCATCACTGTGCCTGGCACTTAATGAAGGGAGGGGGTGATGCACCAGAATGAAGGCCAGTAGACTAAAACCAGAATGTGATTTCTGAAGCAATGCATGATTATTACAGTGCTGGCATGAATCAACATTCTAATTTAGATCAGTGGAGTAATATCCTATTGCAAGATCCACCTTTCAATCAATCAATAGCCTCCTTCAGCCCTGCCATGTTATGACGTCAACAAGATCCAATAATGTGATCTGTACCTTGCATTCTTAAACTCTAGCCAGCCATTTTGTGTTGTCCTGAATGTTATGTTTAAGAGGTGGGATAAAAGAGAGTGCCTTGTAGGAAATTAGTTGTGGGGAAATGAAAAAGTTAGTTGTTATAACGAAAAGGGGTGTTTTGAGGTTGAGCAAAAAAGTATCATATAAAAAGGTGTGTCAGGGAAACAGTTGTTACAGTAAAACAATGTCGTCTGACATGACTGTAAAATAAAACCTCTTAGCAACTCAAAAGTAACAAATTAATAATCAAATAGTGCAGTATATTTCATGATGTTTACGTTGAAGGTTCACCATATCCAAGGATCCTGTTTACAGACTACAGTATCACCATGACAAAACAACACAATGTAAAGCACATCCTTTAACATAAAAAACTCTACATAGCAAATAACAGTATCTTATTGATTACTATAAAGCTCGGTACAAAAACATCTCCACATGTTCTGGTTCTACTTCATGTTGCTACATCAAGGATGTAATAAATATGAATAAGGGGCTGCTGTAAGGAAATTAACACAGTACTATACTAAATACAGTGTATTGCTTGAAGATGATGATACATAGGTTCATTTACATTATAATCATTATTACATTGTCCTATCTAATCGATATGACTATATGACTACCACAAGAAGACAATTTTCTTTGGATTAGTCTTGTTTTATTTTCAGTGTTAAACTGCAATATTTCTTGATAATAGCAGTTTTAATTTGAAAATGACACAGAAAATAACATGTTACTGCTCCACCATAAAAATAGCAATTTATATTTTGTCTTGCTGACATTTATAAGATATGTAAGTCAATTAAATACTATCAATCAAAACTATATTAACTACAAGAAATACACATTTTAATCTGATGCGATGCATATCACATCAAAAATATCAGGAAGGTAGATGGCCTATAAAAGTTTGTTATGTTTTCAATGTAGCTTTATCACAGCTTCATTATTGGATGAGTCTATTATACACATGTATACAAGGGGTGTAAGCATCTAATAGATATTCAGGAAATACCATTTCTCTCAGGATAAACAATGAATCCAAAACTTCTCAGTATATATAACCCTTATGTAACACTATACGCACATGATTTCACAATAAACCAATTCACGATAGTTCAAAATGACAACAATAGTCTTACTTCCCCAGTTGAAGAGCTCTCATTTCGGGTACAGATTTTTTACATCTGGGTTTTTTCTGTTGAAATATACAGGATCTGATTTTGAACACAATATTTCAGCTCTATTTGACATTCCACTTTGTGTACAATTGCACAATCAATAAAAATATTTACTTTTAGTGTGACGTCACTGACTTCATACCTTGGAGTTGAGAATGGGTTACTTGATATGAAACGAGAGACAAGTTCTCAGTAATATAATGTGGGTCAAATTACAGTTGACCTATATCAATTCTGAGGATGGGAACTTAATATTAGAATGAACTATATATATATTATCCCAACAATACGCAAAAAAACATAGTTTTAGGTTGAGAGAATTTTACTTGACGCAATGCATTGTGGGAGATATTTATGTTAACAACTGTTATCGCAAAATTGGTTTATTGATAACTTCAGTAAAATATGTGTCACATCCATGAAAAAACGGACAGAGACTAATCAGGCACATTTAAGAATACTAAAACACAATCATCGAACTAAGCCTAAAATGCATTTCTCCAGAATAAATCAATATGTTGCGTTTGATTTAACCCGATAGATTTTCTATCATGGTTATAATAACAGAACAACTGTAAGATACACAACGCAAAATCAAAAGTGATTTACAGGAAAAAGACATCAAATAATTGTAACTTCTGATTATACAAGGGATTGATATCATTACAGATCTGAGCATTTGTTCATTATTCATGTCAACATAAGTAGCATGTTCTGACACATACTTCATGTGTGTGAATATGCCTTATTATTAATAAACAGAGTTATTTATACAGCATTGAAATATTACTGATATGATTAATAAATATAATAATACCTAGAAGACACGATGCCTTATGTGACATACATACATATATTCAATACTTAAATCTTATGAGACTCTTTTGTTCTCATAATAAGAATAATAAATAGACTGAATCACTGCTTCACAATATCTGATGAATTCAGAAAATCACAATCATTGATGACAAATTAACAACTAATATAAATCAGAAGAAGAATTAACTACATACGTATATCATACTACAGGGGCGTCAAAAGCATTTGCTAAGGGAGGGGGAGACTTTTGGGTATGGATAGGTCGTGCGTGATCTAGGGGACCGCCCCCCCCAGATAATTTTCAAATTTAGACCCTCTTTGGTGCATTCTGAACATATCTCAGCACAACATTCCCAATAATAAAAACAAGAAAAAATATGTTTTTAGAAAACTTAACTTGACTTTGACTAAAAATTTAGACTTTTACTAAAATATACATTTTGCACTTATTCTTCAAAGTATTTACATACCATATGGATACTTGAGAAACTATATATTTTTAAGAATTAAATATAATATGAGAAATGAGATCTTCTATGCTTGATGTAGACAAGATACTGACATAGTATCATGTCTGTCATTATAACACTTTCACTTAATAAGCTCTACAGCTTTCAATTCTAGGCTCAGTTTCAAATCTAAAAATCTGGGAAAGGGGAGGGGGCGGTCGCCCCCAACGCCCTCCCCCTTCTGACGCCAATGTACTATATGTAGAAGCTGGGAAGTATGATTTAATGAAAACATGAATAGTATGCACCATCTTGACCTCTACGGATTTCTGAACTGAAAGGAATCACTGGTAAATCCATCCTGATTTATCAGAGTTTGTCTTTATTAATGCTTGCCAGATGAGAACAACTATGGTGGGGTCGATATATTGATAGCACAATGAAAGCAGTTATCATTCGAAAGGCAATTAATTCATGATATATCCCTCTAGTTACGAATTTGTTTGTCTAATATGTACCCTATATGTGCCATTATCATCCATCATCAAGGAGATGTTTGAGAAATGCTTCAGGACAATGCTCTAATATCTAACAATGTATCCCAGGTCATCCTGAGTTCAGCAGACGGCCTGATACAACAGGGCATTATGGGACATATCAGTGAGCAAAGTTCACAAACCTGTTACAGAATCTAGAATAATGAAGCTTATAGACATATAGAAAAGTGTATACAAATCATTTTTGAAGCTGCTCAAAATGTCAAGAAAATCTGACACAGACATTTATAAGGGCAAGAATTTTGTTCTATATCACTCTGAGTGGAATCTAACTATGTAAGATTCCTTTGTTTTCAGGCATATTGAACCATGTATGGTGAGCCATTTTAGCATTTCTGCTGTGTTTACTTCACTCAGGCCAAACAAGGTTACTACTCAACGAAGGGTAATGTGTGAGGGTTAATGTACTTATTGGGAAAGAGCTACCACATACTGACATATAATGTCTGTACTGAGCTATCTTGAGTATCTTTTAACCTTTACATACAATAGTTTGATTTCACTTCATGAGACAGCTTCATCTAACAAAAGCCTCTGGGCCCTATGACTTTATCTTTGTGAAGTGTGAGTGATGTGGACAGTACAATAGGACTATTGAATCAGACTAGCAATATAGACTCCTCTCCAAATTAATGAATTAATTCTAAAAAATAGCAACTGCACGGATAGTCCAACAACATTAGACCTAGCCTGGGCCTCGTTTCTTATCTGACATGTCTTATGGCCCCGGCTAGGTCTAACCTCCATGATCATTTTGCCCTTGTTGCGCGTTCCGCAGGTTTCGACCAGCGGAACTAATTAACACTGAAAACATGGTAATATTACATAAAGAATG